TGGATAAGAAGGTATATTGGATGCTTTCCTTTATTAGTCGAAGAATAGAATACAAGAGCAAGGGGGTCATACTGGAACAGTATAAAATGCTGGTTAGGCTGCAGTCAGCGTACTATGTTCAGTTCTGGTCACCAAATTATTGGAATGATATGATGGTACTAAAAGGAGTACAGGGGAGATTTATCAGGATGTCACGTGGGTTGGACGGTATGAGCCAAGATGAGAGATTGAATAGGCTAAGCTTGCTTTCCTTGGAGCAGCAAGGGTTGAGAGGGGACCTGATGGAAGTATATAAGATTGAGGGGATAGATTGGGTGAGTAGGAGTGCACTCTTCCCATCAGTAGATGGGTCAATAATTAGGTCAATACTTAGATTTAAGATCAGAGGGGAGGGTTGAAGAAAACAACTTTTTTTTTTGCTAAGGGTGGTGGGAACCTGGAAGTTGTTGCCTTAATGGCTGGTTGAGTCTGAGATGCTGAACATTTAGACAGAGTTTAAGTATTCACTGCTTTGCCATAACCTCCAGTGGTCTGGGCCTCATGCTGGAAAATGTAATTGGTGTAGTCAGATCTTTGTTGGCCAGTGTGGACATTATGGGGCAAAAGACCACCTCTTGTGCTGCTGTAACCATCAATGAGTTTAGTATGCTACAGTGATTTACACATCTATATGCTTCTGTACTTGGGCAACCTACAACAGACACCTCAGAGCACTTGAGAAGCACCACCTTGCCTTCTCCAAGATTCTCCAAATTTGGTCATAAGATAGCATCTGATCCAAAAGCAGCAACATCTCAAAATTAATGAGCTGTGTCAAAAACTGTCAGCTTTACCCGGAACTAGCTCTTGCTGTGCAGGATGTACATGATGTCAAACCCTTGCAGTAATTGGTGTACGTAGTACTGCTATTGCAGCAGGAGACTTTCAGGAAGATAGCAAAGTGTTTTGGGATGTCTTGAAAGCACCCTGGAAGAGGTCAGATATCCCCTTGACTCATGGGAGTCCTTTGCTTGTGACCAACCAAACCAAGAAGATTCATTCTAGCAGAGATAGTGGGAAGAGGTTTTGTCAGGATTATGTAGAGGTGAAGTTGAAGCACTTCCAAACAATCAATTTGCCTGATCTTCAACACTGCCTGCTCTGTATATGGCAGAGCCTGCAGATTGTTCACTTCACTTATCTCAACCCATCAGACTGTAGTGGGAGCAGGTCAAACAACCGGTGATTATATGATCTGCTGAATCTCCTTCTCAATTTAATATGATCACTGCTGAACTTGGGCTTCACACTCCCCACAAGACTGTGTATCTCAGCCTGAAATGATAAAGCATCCATAACAGTCTAGAGAATTCCAAAGATGTAAAATTCTCTTTTTTTTTGGGGTAAAGTAATTCTTCTTCACCTGAGAACTAAATGACCATTCCATTATTTTGAGACACTGCCATCCTCAATCCCAAGGAACTTCCCAAGAAGGGAGACCATTACATCAGTTGCCACACTTAAGCATTTCATGGGCAGTAGAGCATTTTGAACAGGTGAAGGTTGTGTCGGGTTCAATACAAGTGGAAATTGTTTCTTTGCTTGTTTAAAATTTTGTAGTTATGATCCAGCTGTTGTTATTACTGAACAAGTCCAATCTTTTTTTCATAAAGTAGACTTCACTGAAATATAAGCATGTGGAGCTGCAGGTCAGGTTTTAACAAATAAGCAGGAGTTTATTATGTAGAACTGTGTTTGTTTGTTTGTTTGTTTGTTTGTTTGTTTGTTTGTTTGTTCTATTTTACTAAGTTATTTATATATACAATTGGAAAGATTTAGAAAAAACAATAATACCACCCCAAGGCCTCCTACCCTCCCTCGACCTCTTCATCTCCAACTGCCGTCGAGACATCAATCGCCTCAACCTCTCCACCCCTCTCACCCACTCCAACCTCTCCCCCGCAGAACGTGCAGCCCTCCGCTCCCTCCGTTCCAATCCCAACCTCACCATAAAACCCGCGGGCAAGGGAGGTGCAGTTGTAGTATGGCGCACTGACCTCTACATCGCCGAGGCCGGACGCCAACTCTCCGACACCACCTCCTACTGCCCCCTTGATCAAGACCCCACCTCTGAGCACCAAACCATCATCTCGCAAACCATCCACAACCTCATCACCTCAGGTGACCTCCCACCCACGGCCTCCAACCTCGTCGTTCCCCAACCTCGCACTGCCCGCTTCTATCTCCTTCCCAAAATCCACAAACCTGAATGCCCTGGTCGACCCATTGTCTCCGCCTGCTCCTGCCCCACCGAACTGATCTCCAACTATCTCGACTCCATTTTCTCCCCCTTGGTCCAGGAACTCCCTACCTATGTCCGTGACACCACCCACGCCCTCCACCTCCTCCAGAACTTCCAATTCCCTGGTCCCCAACACCTCATCTTTACCATGGACGTCCAGTCCCTCTACACCTGCATTCCCCATGCAGATGGCCTTAAGGCCCTCCGCTTCTTCCTGTCCCACAGGCCCGACCAGTCCCCCTC